TTGCTCAAGATGAGTGTATAACCAAGATGTTATAATCACAATATAATTGTGTATAATCAATAGATATCAAGATGATATAATCACAATATAATCAAGAGAGTAAGGCAAAGCAGACAATGATAACAAAAAGAGAATAAGTGGAAGAGCTTACCCTTTTGTTGAGCTCACCAGAAGATACCAGAAGAGGGGATCTCCAGAAGAGATCCTTCTCCTCTGGTAGCCAGCTCTTAAATAGGTCCAGGAGGGGTGGAGCCTGGCTCCACCCCTTCCGGCAGCACAGGTGAATTGCCTTCACCTGAGCTCCTCTGGCTGACTCATGGCTCACCTCAGGTGATTAATCAGAGGTTCAGGCCGTGACTCAGCAGTTCCCATACAATGAGCCTAAAGAAGTGAGGTAGATTGAAAACGATCAGGTCTGCCACGTTCAGGGGGTGATAGAGCAGAGGCCAATAGCTCAGGGTATACCTCAGGAACAGATACTAGGACTGGAACTGTGTAGCATCTTCATTGACAATCTCAATGATGGGACAGAGTGCAACCTCAGGAAGTTTGAAGATAATAAAAAATTGGGTGGAATGGTTGATACAGCAAATTATTTTGCTACCTTGGTATCTTGACAGGCTGGACAAATGGTCTGACCAGCTGGAAAGCAGAGGACCTGATTATCCTGATGGCCAAACTGGACATGAATCAGCAATGCACCCTTGATGCATTAGGAAGAGTATTAACTCTTTATTTGGCGCTCATGATACACATCTGGAGTCCTGTGTCCAGTTCTTGGCTCCCCAGTAAGGAAAGTCATAGACTTACTGGTACAAGGCTAGCAAATGGCCTTGAAGATGATTAACTGAAGTACCTGTCAGACAAAAAGAGGCTGAGAGAGCTAAGTCTGTTCAGCCTGAAGAAGAATGAGTTTTGGGAGGATCTTATCAATATGTGCAAATATCTGACGGTGGGGGGAGGCACTAACAAGATGAAGTCAGGCTCTTCTCAGTGGTGTGCACTGACAGGATAACAGGCCATGGGCAAAAATTAAAATTTTTAAAAAAGAGATCAATTTAAACATAGATTTATTTATTTATTTATTTTTATTTTTATTTTAATGTGAGAATTGAACACTGGAGCATGTTGCTGATAGAAGGGGTGCAGTCTCCATACCTGAAGATGCTCAAAGCCCCAGGGGACACACTTTTGAACAACCCACTCTAGCTGCCCTGCTTTGATCAGGGTATTCAACTAGATGACCTTTCAAGGCACCAGATATGCCTACCAACCTCAGCCATTCGATGATTTCTGAACAACTCTCGGTTGACCATGAATTTGAATGACTGACCTGAGCAGTGAACCTCTGGTGCTGCAATCATTTTTTGTTTTATGGTATTCGCGTGCAGAGGTAAACTGCTATTACAATGCACTTAGGAGTTGGACACATTTCAGGAGCTGATAAAGTAATTCTTATCTACTTTCTTGCTAAACATTTTCAGAAGGAAAGGAGCAAACGCAAGTTTTATTTACCGTGTTACTTCTGCATTAGCCTGTATTGGTTTCAATTAATTTATTGCTAGACAATTTAAATATCAAATTAAGGTCTTAAAATTGGTTTTAAAGAAGTAGGATTTTTATAGAATAAAAGACAACAGCACAATTTGCTGTTTTAAATCTTATAATATTTTTACAGTTTATATAGTACATAATAGTGCTGACACAGCTGTGTTAAGATCACACTGGGCTAACCATCACTAGGGGTGTTCCATATGCAGTACCCTGAATCCCAGTCTGCTGTATTCTCCACCTGTGCTATGCAGAGCCAGTGCTGTCCTCATGTGAGATGAGGAAGGGCTAGTTTGGCTCCAGGACCAATTGTGTTCATAATTTTTAGTTTCCACTAAACCTCTAAGAAGCAACAGTGCTTCAAAAGTGAATCTCAGTATAGGATAAAATAAATGATGTGGATAAAGTTCTTATAGTCTTGTAGATAACTCCCACGGTTCTCCACAAAACTCATGTAATTGCTTTGTCATTTGTGCCTGCTCTGTTAGAATTTCTGAAGACACTTTGAGGAGTCAGAGACTGAGCTCGCAGGCAGGGAGATGGAGGCTAAACAGCAAAAGATTGCTCACCAGGCATAGACCAAGACCAGATGACTCATTACAGCACTTTACCTGTCAGGTCTATATCTCAATCTGTAATGTAGCACTGACTTGTTTCTAGGATTTATAAGGACAAAAAGCATCTGCGCAAATTCTGGGTAAGAACTGACAAAGAGTACTCCTTCAAAAAAGTAACTCTTGAAAACTCTGCGTGGAAAGTAGTGACCATAGGAAAGGTGGTCACCTCTCTGTGTTTACAGTAAAATGAAAGGTGACTTACAGAAATACCATTCTAGCTGATACTGCAGTTGAATATTAAACGTATGTAATGTATGTATATATGTATCAATATACTTGCTACAAGTGAATCAACACAAATTGCCCAAGCTCTCTACAGATTTTGCTCAGGAAAGGTACTACAGGAGGTGCTTGCTGCTCGACTGTTAGTTGTAAGCTGGCAAAGCGCTGGGGAAAGGAACAGCTAGTTCTCAGAACAGTATTGCACAGATGAGGCTTAATCTATACTTGAAAGGGCCGCATAAAACATTGACTTGTCACATTTATGCAGCTACTTAATTTTCCAATCTAGGGCAGCCTGACTGCAAATTACATTTGTCTACTGGTTAGTTCGGGCAGCTGCAACCACTCTGTCATTTTGGAAGTGCTCTTCTTATTCAGAAAAGAGGGCTGTACTTCACAAACAGAACTTGGAAGCTTTCAAGCTGAGACAAGCCTGGCAGTTTTATTGGCAGTTTGACCAGGAGCAAACAGAACACTTTATGTATCTTGGCATAAACAAGCATTGCCCTTAGATGTTCTGTTCAAAGCCAGACACACAGAGGAGAAAAGTGGGGAAGACAGAGGAGGGTGTTGCAGTCTCCTTGAAACTGTCTATGTTGCAGTATTAATTTGTGTTTAGAAGTGGCAAATTTGTAAAATACATAGATAATCTGCATATTTTAACAAAGTATTAGGCTGCAACAAATAGCCCCAATTCATAAGAACTCATTAAATTTTTGCTCTATGCCTGTAGTACATTCTGGCTCTGCTTTTCCTTACTTAACAGTCAAGTAAACCAGCTGTTTCTGATGTTGCTGGCTCCAGACCTAGTTTATTCAATTCCTCATTAGGTAAGAGGCTCTTTTGTGGGTGACACTGCCTGGACAGGGGAGTGCCAGGTCTTCCCTCTGGAGGCCTGCAGGATTGCCACCATAAGAATGCCTGAACAGAAGCACTGTTTCCACCACTGCCCTTCAGCAACACCTCTCTGTGGAGGGACAGCTTCTGTCCATGAACCAGTGACCTGTGAACGCTGCCCCAGGGTACAGCAAAGCATAAGTCTCTGGGGGAAGTGTGGGTTTCCATGTGCATTTGCACCTCCCTCTGAATTAAACTGGGCTGGCTGATCGATGGATGCCTTAGACAAAAACAATTTTATAATTAAGGACATTTGCTTGGGAAATTTTGCTGGCCTGAGTCTCCCCTTTGTGTGATCACCTCCTCAGTGGAAAGATTTAGCATAGCTTTCAGTGTAGTAGTGGACCATACCGATAGGAGCCTTAATAACAGCAGGTTCTATCCAATGCAGCAAGTATTTACTTATTTTCTTCACTTAAAGAAAGAGGAAGTCATATAATGTAAATCTTTAAAAAGAGTTAATCTTGATTTTAGCATAGGCTTATTAATTGACTTATTTTCTCTTTTTAATAATTCATATAACAATGCATGTAACATTTAGTTAAGAATAATTTGAAATAATTCTGGTCATATTAATCAAATGCTTGCTCCTAATGAACTACTACTTACAGCCACTGGTGGATTAGAACAGGCTATAAAAAGTGCTAAATCAGAGGAGGAAAGCTGGAAATAATTTTAATGATGAAGCTGGAGGAAAAGCTTGAAATACTCCATGTGAAATAGCCTATATTTACCACGTAGTAATCACTTTGCTAAAACTATACATTTAATTTCCCCTTGTTAACAATAAATAAACACCAATTAATTTATGCAGCTAAAAGATCAGTGGGAGCATAAATCTTTTATTAGAGATTCCAAAATAGAAATTCCTCCCCATTTCCATTATTGACAACAGCTGCACTTGCTCAAAAGGGAAGAATCAGCATTCAAAGCATATTCTTTGTTTTTCTCTGTATCCTTTAATGAGTAATAAAAGGGAGCAGATCCACTTCCTACACCTTTCCACGTGCACACTGAGTCCCATCTCCGTTTTGACCTCCGTCGACACAGCTGGCAGAGGCTCCCATTGAGGTGTCAATGCAGCTGCTGCGCACTGACACGACTGTTAATGAGCCCACGGAAAGAAACCGAGCTGTTCTCCTCGGGCAGAGACTGAACAAGCAGAGTTTCAAACTGCGACATACAGAATACGGAGCCGCTATCATTATTAGCTTCATTATATCTCTTAAACAGCGGTGCAACTCCTGCCTGAGGACGGAGCAGTCAATATCGTGAGGCAGCAGCCCTATGTGAACGCGATATGCATTCACGTTGGGCACTCAGGTGACTCAACACCGCCCCGCAACAACTCCGCGTCGTCGTGTGCAGTTCCATCTCCCCTCGGCACCCCTCTCGAAATCAGCGGCTCGGCCCGGAGTTCTCCAGTGAGATGAGAGCTCCCTCTCCCGAGGGGCCGCAGCCTCGCTCCGCCTCTCGGCCTCTCTCCGTGAGGCTCTCGGCCGCCCGGGAACGGTCCCTCATACGGGACCGCTGCAGCCAGCGCAGACGTCGCCAAGGACAGGCAGCACTAGAGCCCGTCCCGACGAGGGGTGCCTGCTTCCCAGCGGGGCGTCACTCCGCTCACCGTATTCCGCGCTCCTCGGGCGCTTGGCGCCGGGGGAGGGAGCGGAGGGGGGCTGGGCTGGGCTGGGCGGGGCGGGGCGGCGGCACCGCATGCGCAGGAAGCCAGGTGCCTGCCGGCTTTGCGAAGAGCCGGCAGCATCGCACGCGGCCCGGCGTCCTCATGGTGCTGTGTCAGGGCGCCGAGGCTACGGCTGTTGCCCCCACGGCGGGGAAGGAGCTGGAGGGGCCGCGGGGCCGGGAGGACGGTGCGGACGCGGGGCGGCCCTGCCTGCAGCCGGCACCCGGCGTAGAGGCGGCGGCGGGCGCCGAAGAGCGCCGCGTTTGCGGCTGCTGCCCGGGTTTGCCCTGGCCGCGCTCCTGCAAAGCACCCGGTGAGGAGGGTGAGGCTGGCTGGCGGACGGAGCAGGGGGCAGCGCCCTGCCGGCGGGGTGACATTACCGGCGGGGCGGAGGAAGAGGAAGCGTCCCCGAGGGCGCCGGGGCTGAGTGGCACGTGTGGCGGGGCGCGCGGTGAGCACGGGCAGCCGCTGAAGGCGCCACGCACCTGCACCTGGGGGCGCCGCTCCGCGAGAGCGCGTCTGGCCCCGGCCTACTCCTCCTCTGCACCCTCACCCCCCATTTCTCTCCTCGAGGAGAGGTCTGGGGCAGCCAAAGGCTGGCCTGTGAGAAAGGGTCGCTATCGCTTCCTGGTGCCGCTGTTGTTTGTTTTTTAAGTTCAGGCTGCACAGCGCTGGGTAGCAGGCTGAATGGCACTGCTCATGTATTGAGAACGGACGTGGCTGCCCTTCGAAAAGTAAGGGGGAGGAACTCAGTGCTTGTAGCCGTGGCTTCCTTAGCAGTTCTTATCTTTCTTCCGTGGGAGTCTATTCTTTATTTTGTCTTTTGCTTTACTCGGTTACTTTGAATCACTGAAGCCATCAACTCGCTGTAAAATTTGCAACAAAGAGTTTTTGTGAGCTTAATTTGGCTTCCTTTTAAGACATTAGTGCTTTCTTAAAACGATTTCTAATTCATCTGAATTCTTAAACGACTGCATTGAGACCTGTTTCATATTAAATATGAATTATAATTGACTTTCCAGTAGAAAATGCATAGAGTTCTGTCTTTGTTAAGTAGGGAACTGCGGAGAGGCCAGAATAGATAGCGGTCTGGTGCAATTTACATTAGTGTCACTTCTAAGGCAAAGCTTGGAAAAAACAGCATTCAAAGTCCTGAGAAACTTGTGCTGACTTGCCAAGGATGACTCTTTTTGTAGTCTCTGGCAGAAAGTTAAGTCAATAGCTGAGCTTTATGACTCATGCCTGGATCTTGTCTACATGGCCATGGTTAGTTCATAAACAGGCCCTTGTGCTCTTGTTGCCTTTCTGTGGTCTGAGGGAACTATTCTGGTGCTGTCTGTGTGCAGAACAGATCGCCCGTTCCCAAAGTTCTGTGAGAATGGTTTTCTCACTGACTTTCTTACCCTTAGTCAGCATTTTCCTATCTCCACTCTTAAGATATGTAAGAAACTGTTATTTTCTTTACCCTTTGCGTCTTTCAAATACAAAAGCTAGTTGTTAGAAAGCCTGGAATTAAAATGCAAACAAAGAAAATGGTGTGCAGTGGGAGGCGTTTGACTGGGATTTGAAACAAGAGTTAAAGGATCATGTGGAAACCCCACACATGGAGATGGCCAGGGAGTGAGACTGGAAAGCCAGATCTGTCACTGCTCAGAAGAGAGTACTTGGGTACTTGCAGAAACTTTTTTTTCTTTTTTTCAGACTTAAGCACTTTTAGCCAAAAGCTCAAGTGTCTTAAATGGCATTGGGTTAGTGTTGGGAGGCCCAACGTTCCATGCAGTGGTAATGAGAAGATGGTTGGACTAGATGGTCTTATAGGTCATTTCCAACCTTGTGATTCTATGATTCTATGGGCTAGGATTGTTATCTTAACCAAACTTTTCCTCAGAACATATTTTGAAATAAATATTCTTCAAAAGGGCAGTTCTTGTTTTTGGTAGAAGAACTCACACCGTGTTATTTTTAAAAGGAAGTAAGACACCTTCTTATTGCCCTAAGCACATGCTTTGGCAATGTGAAACAACAGTTTAAATTCTAGTGTTACCAGATACTTTTTCTGATAGGTTAGATTTATTGGGCAGCTTACAGAAATGAATTCCTTTAAGTTTTCTTTTTAATCCATGGCTTAATTCTGGATATAAGATCCTTTTAGCTTACTTTGCTGTAATTTCACTTCCATTATTTTGATTGGCTTCATTCTGTGGTAGTCAGGCAAGCTATCACGCCTGAAGTAAGTCAATGCCCTATGTGCTGTGTTCTCCCATAAGCCTGCCTTTGGATTTCCCTTTTCAGTTATTGGCCAGTCTGATTCTGCTTGTTTTAATACTGGGGATGGAGTTGATTTTGTATTTCTGTTGCATGACAGTGTGGATTAGGGTGTTATGTAATTCACGGACATTTAAAAAAATCTGTTGTTAGATACTCAGTGGATGTCCTGGTCCTGTGCTGGTTAGTGGTATTGTAATAGTTGCTTTTATGAAAATGTCTATTGCTAAATAGAAGTATTTCGGCAGTAGTGTGGCTGTATTTTTTGGGATGTAGGCTTTCTGCCTTTTCTAAGTCCTGGTTGAGGTAGTAAAGCCTGGGACTTCAGGATGGTTAAAGTGGGAACTGGTGCCGTACCGATTGTGTTGGCATGCAGTCCCAGCTCTCTAGTAGAAAGAACATTCTCTTGGCCTTGAGTGCTGATCTCAAGGAGGATCAAAATGGTTTGTGACAAGTTTTGTTAATTTAAAAACAAACCCAACCTCTCAAAACCATATGTAGTTGCTTAGCAACTCACAGCAGTGCCCACTGCTGATACTGCAAAGATCCCTGGGGTTCGGTGGGTGGGGTGAAGCATCCTTTTATCTAAGCATCACGTTGTGGATGGGGAGTTCTCTCAGTTATCTTTAGAGAGTGGTTTAGAAGAAAGGGCAACCCGAAGTATTTTATGTAGATGCAAAGATAAGTGATAGTGAGGAAACTTCTTGTTCTAATTCACCTCTAGGTTCAGTGGCAAGACTTTTCCTCCTCTGCAGCCAGTTCATATTTATCATTTTAAATATTTAAATAATATTAATTTATTAATATTTGTTAATTATTAATATGAAAAGGGCTGGTTTCTTGGGAAACAGCATTGAGGTCAGCAGTAGTTCACCCTCCCTGTTTGCTTTCATTTTTAATTTATATTTTATTTATAGCAAAGGGTGGAGAAAGTGGGTGGAATAAGGAAGAGTGTGTAATTGAAGTGGGCCTGAGGCAGTATGGATGCCTGAATAGAATCCATTAGGCCTGGGAGGCTTCTTCAGGAGAAGAAAGTCCGATAGAGAAGGGTAAACAATCGTGAAATTAAGTTCATGGAACTTTTATAAGTGAGGGTCATTATATAATTTCTGCATATATGTGCCTGCGAGAGAGGAAACTGTGTTGTTGCTTAGGAACCTTAATGAACTTACTCGATAATCCAATAACTCCCTGGTAATAAGTTTCAGTGTTTCATGATCTGACTGTGGACCATCTGCAGTCAATTTTATTTACTGATTTGAAGGCAGTTGTCAGAAGCAGCTCAGAATCTCCTGAAGTGTAGACACGCACCTCCAACTGACATAGGACTGGGAGAATTCTAGGAATGGTTTGAGTCCAGAGTTTGAGAGTTCATCTTCTATTGCCTGTTTTAAGGAAAAAAAGAGGGCTGTGGTGGCTAGTGAAACATGTTTTCAAGGTAGGTCTGGTAAATCAATGTAGTATTTGCATTTCTTTTGCTTACCCTTTTGTCTGCCACAAGGATGGCTACAAATGTACACAGTAGTACATGGAGCCACCTGTGGAATCTGTTGATGGAGAGCTAGATCATTACTAACTATGTTTATCTGTTGCAGGTACGAAGAAAACTGCCTGTCCAGGACTTGGTCTCTTTTACACCTTACTGTCCGCCTTCCTTTTCTCAGTGGCCTCTTTATTCCTTAAAAAAATAGAAGATGTACACTCAGTGGAAGTGAGTGCATTTCGATGCGTTTTCCAAATGGCATTTGTTCTACCTGGTTTAATATACTACAAGTAAGTGTAACAAAAGTTTCAATTTAAAGTTATTTCTTAAAAGTATGTATTGGAAACATAATCACTCATTAATTTGAATCTTAAATATGCTTAAATACTTGAACTTCATATGCTTAGCTGCATTGTTTTGAATCAGTTTATAGTTTACTAATTCGACTTATTTCCTTGTCAAAATTTGACTTCCTTAATTGTAGAAATTTCTACAGGGTTGATATTGGATGTATTGACCTCCCATGGAAGTAGTGTTCTTGAAAATAGGAGATAATTTGTAGAATCTTTTGGGTTATTTTGCAAGCAGCAATTCAATACTAAAGGAGTAGGTTCCTGACTGAATGTGATTGGCAAGTGGTAAAGGGACTAAATTGCTCTGGGATCAATCAGTTAAAAATATTTTGATGTTTGAGATAAGTCTGTCACTTGGAAGGGTTTGTACATTTAAATGTCATTGGATGTTGGTCATGAAATTAGCAAGCCAGTAACATTAATGTGACATTTCTGTTTTTCTTAATTTTCAGAACAGGGTTTTTGGGACCAAAAGGTAAAAGAATTTTTCTTTTCTTCCGAGGACTCCTTGGCTCTAGTGCAATGATTCTTCTCTACTATGCTTTCCAAGTAATGCCTCTAGCTGATGCCACTGTTATAACTTTCAGCTGTCCTGTTTTTACATCATTACTGGCATGGATCTTTCTCAAAGAAAAATACAGCGTTTGGGATCTTCTCTTTACCCTCTTCACAATCATTGGAGTTACTCTAATTGCCAGACCACCGTTTCTGTTTGGGTCAAATGTTACAGGGATTGAAGGAAGTTACTCAGATCACCTTAAAGGAACTATTGCAGCAATTGCAAGCACGGTATCTGCAGCATTAACTATTGTTATACTTAGAAAGGTGGGAAAATCTGTGCATTATTTTCTGTCAATTTGGTATTATGCGGTCATCGGTTTAATTGGATGTGTTATAGCATTGTTTGTTATGAATGAATGGCGTTTACCATACTGTGGTAAAGACAGAGTTTTTCTCATATTAATAGGCATATTAGGGCTAGGGGGACAGATATTTCTCACAAAAGCACTACAGATAGAGAAAGCTGGGCCTGTAGCCATAATGAGAACGATGGATGTGGTGTTTGCTTTCATTTTACAGATTCTTTTTCTCAATCATCTACCAACTTGGTGGACTGTGGGTGGTGCCCTTTGTGTAGTAGCTAGTAGTTCTGGGACTGCCATTCGTAAGTGGAGACAAAGCTCAAAGAAAGCTGAACAAAATGAAATCTAACAACACAGACACTACTTCATTACAGAAATTAATAATCTTGAAATATATATTAAAAATATTTATTTTTATTTATTTAAAGTATCTCATTTATGAAATTATAGTACCAAACCGTAGCCAATAAAAGAAATTGGTTTTAATAAAAACAAAACAACATCGAAAGCAAATTGAAGATGTTTTGACAACTAATTAAGTATATATGCTTTTTTCCCCTCATATTTGGTCATGCAAATATAAGAAGTAGGAAGATTCTTAAAAGTTGCTTGCTTTACATCTGAAGTGGATGATTGTTAGCTGGGATTTTGTTTTCCTAAAATACCTGTACCAGATTCTCCATTTTTTGGACCCTTTCTCTATTCTTCTGAGCAGTGGAATTTTCCCAGGCTTATTTGTACTAATCTGTGATTGATTATGAGAGGGATTTCAGTTCAAATAATTAGAAGGGAATAAAGAATTATAGTCTTACCTCTAACTTCTGTGGAACAGATAAAGCTTGCACATCTTGCACATCTACCAACTTTCTGCTTTTGTTTTTTCCTTACTCCCCCCCCCCTCAAAAAAGAAACAAACAAAAAACCAAAGGCATTGGGATGTTCTTATTGGAATTCTGAAAGAACAAAGGGTATTCCATCTTTTCAGGTCATGTCAAGACAAGATTAACCTTTGGAAATTTTCATCTTTGCTTTCTTAAAAAACAACAACAACAAAATTGGTCCTGCTTTACAGGCATAATAAACAATCCTTATTTTAATATGTTCTCAATAAATACATCTTTAATTACTGCAGTCTTGGTGAGGAGAGGTAATAGGTAACTACATACCACTTGTAAGCTCTTTCCTGTGGTATAGAATATTATGCTGTAGCTGCACTTTTCTTTACTCTATGCAAAAGATTGTATTTTTTAGATACTTAATATAGGTTATTTTAAATGCTACTTAGGAGTGATTTCTTTATATTCTCTATGAAAGTTCTTTATGAAACCGTTTAAGTTCTCTTGGCCTTCATAAGCTTAGGCAAATGCCTTAATGTAAGTCCTTTTTCCTAAGACTTTACAAGAGAGTGCACACTACTTGTGGTTCACAGAAAATACACATTTGCCAACTTCATAGCACAGATTCTATAGAACGGGTTTGTGCAGCACTTGGTGGGAGGGTGGAGCTCACACTCAGTGCATCAGGCAGTGCTAGTGGGCAGCTTCACCCCTGTTTCTATGCACGTTTTAAATCTGCACTTAGTCACTTCTCTAACACAGCTTCTCATGTTGATATGCTTCACCTTTAGATAATGATGAATACTGAGGAAAAAGGCCTATGTTACTGATCTCGGCCTCCTTCACGTTTGAAGGAGGGATATATATTAAATGTGAGGTGGGGGGGATTTTCTTTAATGAATTGTTGTGTGCTTTTGGGTCTTGTCTTGGTAGTTCTCAAAGAAAAACTTCACTTGGGTCTTTGCCTGTTGCTTTGTATCACAAGGTGTTTCTCAGTTATTTACACACCCCCATGTCCTTCTAAAGGAGTGTGTTGTAGCCAATAGCCATTGCACTCTGGGAGAGCAGCCCTTGGAGAGTTGAGCCCTGAAGAAGTGGAATCTTCATACTTCAAAGCGTATCTAGATGAAAGGAGCTATTTTTGTGCAAGATTTCATTCTTTAACATTGTGAACATGAGCAGATTCCATCCTGGTGGTAAAATCACTTTCTGCATATAGCTGGCTGTTCACTGCTTTTCCCGAAGGCTGAAGTTCACCACTCCTGACATTGTCAGCAATAGTGTGAAACTGGTTTCACATCTGTTCAAAAAAAAAAAAAAAAAAAAAAAAAAAAAGCCTAATAATAGAATTCCAGTTTAATTTTGCTTACTACTTGAAATTGTAAACTGGGATTTTTTTCTGCTGCTTGGCCATCATCACCATTAACACATTTCAAGGGAGGGATGGAAAATAGACTGCATTTCTTAATGCTTCATTTCATGTTTAGTATGCATGTGTTTGTAAGTTAACACTCACGAGGTACAGTTCCAAAGCAGTTCAGATTGATGTGGGTTGTCAGCTAGTCCTGGTTCCTTCCACTGGCTCAGTGTGACTGCTTATGGGGTTATGTGGTGAGCTGCCCCTGGAGCTGGTGCAGCTGAGTAACTTGGTTTGTAGAGTTGGAGAGGGCCAAACTGCAGTGGCCTGAACTTAATCACTGAGTCAAAAAATGTCAAATGGAGGGGAGTTGGATAGTTGTTTAAATTGCAGTATGCATACACTACCTTGTCAGTACACAGTTTCAAAAAAAAAAAAAAAAAAGTGGGAGTTTATATAAAAAAAAATCTTTAGCTGATATGATTTCAGTGGTTATGAATCTTGTTTACAAATAGTAGAGAAGTACACACTACTGAAGAAAGGCCTTTTTTTCTTGCACTAAACATGTATGAATTGACCTGAAATCAACTTGGTATAGTGCCTTTTTTTATTTAACCTTGAGTTGGAAACCCTAATCGAGAGTATTTCTTTACAAAGCCTGGTAACGTGGTCAAATTTTTCTCTTCTCCCAGCTTACTGTTTGAGATTATGAAATAAAACTGGCTGAGACTTGATTCTTTCTGATCAGTTTTCTTTTGTAGTTTTAATACAGCAAATTCCTCAGGGTCAAATGTTATTTTCTTTCTAATCTTTATGTCAAATGTATTGCTAATGTTCATCACCTTTCATGTCATCTTACAATCTTTACAGTAATTAAGTTCAACACATGTATTTACAACAGGAAGCCTTTCCTTTGTAATGTGATGGAGTATTGTTGCATTGTAACTGCTGTTCTATAAAGTTATTGTTGAATTTCAACATATTAATTCAATGTTCAGATTTCAGTGGAGCCTGAATAGAGAAAGTAATTGGTTGTTTTGCACATAAGCATAGGGTGAAAAAGTTTTGTTGTTACAGATTCATCACAAGCATGTTTCTTATGTTCTTTGCTATGCAATTCACTGTAATCATCTGCTGTCTTCACTGGGACTTTGTAGCCTTCAAGCCATACCTACATGACTCTTACAAAGAGCTAGGAGCTAAAAAAGCTGTGTAGTCACTGTGCAGCAGCCAGTTACTTTCAGGATATACCGGTTGTCAAAATATGCTCTAAAAGCCCTCTAGGTATGCCCAACCAATGAATTTGTCATATTCTTAGTGTGGGAAAGTGCAGTCTATATAATTAAAATGAATTTCTTGCATTTGTCTAACACCAGACATAGAAGTAATCTCAGCTTAAGAGCATTGATGAAGTCACTAGTTTGTTGTGTCTTCTGAAACAAGGCTCTTTCTCAAATTCAAATGCTGTTCTGAGGTGGATCTTTCCATAGTTGATGATGACAAAAAAGAAGTAATACCCTTAATTATGATATAGTATAATGACCCCTGCCCTCTATTTTCTTTTCCTTGATGAGCTTTATTCAGGATACGTCTCTTGGAGGAAAGCTTATTTCTAAAGGGGCAGCCTCTTCAATAGTCACTTAGTTGCTGACTGGCAGTGGATAGCCAGGAATAATCGGTTCTCCACTGACCATGATTTCTGTCCATTCAAACGAGAGTTCACAGTGCTGACAGCAGATGTGCAACTGACTTCAGCAGGGCTTTGCAGTTACCAACAGAATGTTTCCATGGTTGTAACTGCCTGTCCATCCAAAGAAAAGTTGTGGCTTTATGTTCCTGCAGATGCAGATAACCTTGGTGCAAAACTTATGCAGTTCCATAAATTGTTGGTGATAACACTTCTGTATATGAGAATGAGTGATTTCATATTTTATGGGAACTGTTGTTTGACAAGAATGGGGTAAAAATGCCCTCTGTGTTAAGATTTTTACTATGTCCTATATATTGTTAAATGATATGTTTTGTAGAAGTTACTGGCTTTGTTATGTAGTAGTATATTTTTATAGACACCTCATATATTGAAATGTGAAGAATATTTTCGTAAGAGATTTATATTCATCATTGCTAATAAAATGAACGTGAAGGATTAATCTCTGGCTTTGTATTGATTAGCAGAACATACTTGAACGTAGTGATACTGGAAGCTTCATGAAAGAGCTATTAATGAAGGAGCCCCTGTTAAGTATGAATATGTTTCCAACTGTACAACTTGTGAGCATGCTGTGTCACTGCTTATGCCTTTCAGTGAGCTTGAGACAAACAGAAGCTCTATGAACTTTCTCAGTACGGGAATATCTTAACTGAAAAAACTGGTACAGGTAGGTCAGTAAAGTTGTGTTTTCCTGTGCTCAGGTGGCAATTTGTCTTTTTCTTCCCCTACTTTTTATACATCAAGATTTGAATTCTGGTCTTGTTTCTTCTGTTAATTGTTAATATTTATCCCTGTACATCTCATTATCTAGTGCTTCAGTAATTACTTTTTCACTAAAGAGCAAAGAGCAGGGGAAAAAAAGTTATCTTGTTAGCAAAATTACCATCATTGTTAAATACTACAAAAACTTTGTAGTAAATTTATTGTATTTGCATTATAAGGGAGGTTCCTCCTACAATAGTGTCTGGTTTCATAAGAGCAGAAGATAACAGAACTGTTGAAGGTTATTAGCCTGCTTGAGATATGTGCACATTCCTGGGTGTGTGGCTTGGTGCTGTAGAGGGGGAAATACAGGAGGGCAGCTGCTTCTCAATGGGGGATTTCTAGCAGTGTTAGCCTATTTGTCCAGCACACTCTGCTTCACTTTTACGCACAAAACTAACTCACTGCATGATGACTTGACACCACTAGTTTCTCAGGCAGTAAATGAAAAGTAATGGGGCTTCCATGTGAGCACACTATAACAGACTGACTGTGAAAGAATTTTGTTGAGATGCACTGCAAGTTCCTCTTGAAACTTCTTTTTTTTGGCTTAGTTATGTGTATTATGTAGGAACTTAAGTTTTGAGGGAAAAGAGAAATTAGCTTTCGAAAGACAGCATTGAAATCCTCCTTATTTGTACCATAATAGTGGTTTACCTAGGTAAGTGATGAGTGTTATGAATAAGTACTGAGACTCAAAACATAATTCTACAATTGTCTACCTGCTGCAAAATATAAAGCAGGGGGAAAAGAGATCAAGTGATACTGAAGGAAGATGTTTGCATAGTATTGCTTGAAAAATAAACCACATTTATAAAATATTTAGAGGATAACTCACCCTGCTCTTTGTTGACTAAATAAAACGTTCTTAGAGGGATGCATGTGGGAAGTGATACTTGAGATGCGATATGCAGATGAACCATTGAAATAGATTTCAATTGGTTCTTTTGAGTCCTCTAGTAACTTTAGATTCGGTTTTATTTTCTGACACCATGAAGTTATGTTATTCTGTCAAGTAGTAAACTGGGAAGGGTGAGAAAGCGCTTTGTTATTTGAGCTTAAATATTGAGCAAAGAGAAAAACAAGAAACGTCAATAGCTGCTCAGCTGGCATATAGTGCTTCTGCAGGCTGCTTAAAAAAGGCGGGTGGAGAGAAAACAAGTTTTGTGATCAGCGAGCATGAAGTCAGTTGTACTTTGCGCTGTGGCCGTTCTGTCGGTAGGTGGCGCTCTGTTCCTAAATTTATTTCTCAACGTATGCGTTTAAACCGTGTTAAAAATCCAACCCCCACAATTTTAGATGATAAAAGTTTCTATGCAGTGTGACGTACGCAGTGATAGGTAGACCTCACTACTATCCTGCATTTTGCAGGTAACTGTAGGTTGTATATCTCATGTATGTCCTAAACGTTCTTGAAAACAACCAACTACAATAAGAGGGGAGTGTGCAAGTACGTTTCTTGCATTAAAATTCTTTGGGGGCCACATTTGTTGGATTAGGCTGAATTTAGCATAATAGTCACTTTTAATTCTGCTGAGAAACAGAGCATGTATGCTGTCTGAGCAGTTGATAAGCATGTTGTAATCATTGCTGTGTTTACTCCCTCTTGGGGAGACTCAGAAATCTTGCATTTTGTCTGTGATTGTTGCTGGAGGGTGGGGAGTGACACCAGTGTTGTTCCTGAGCAGGTTCTTGGGTGTGGGTGCTCAAGCAGGGCATGGTACCTTAGTGCTCATGATCCCCAGGCCCTGCTGCCCGGTGTTTCCAAGGGCATGGCTTTGAGGCAGTCACTGCGGCACAGGGCTGTGCTCAGGGCCTTGTGCTGGACGAGCCCCTTCATCCGCCCTGCTGATTGAGTAGAAAATCTGGGCAAGCTTGCAGGCATGGCAGCACCATGCTTGAAGCCAAGTTGAGTTGGGGAGCAGTTGTTCCAACTTCAACTTGATTAAAGGCAGGGAAATACAAGGAGAAGAGGAGGTGATAAATTTAACTACTGTGAGCTAGGAAAAGTACTGCTCAATCTGCTTTCCACTGAAAAGTTAGCTGGAGAATTTTTTGCTGGGGTTAGCTGGCACCAGTAGGTGTTGTTCTATTTAATAGGAAGTACTGTAACATTTTTGGGAAGCTAAAGAACATTAAAACAGAGAAAAATCTTTGTTGTATAACTTGGAAAGGCTCTGTGGCAAATCCCTTTTCTTTCACATAAAGTGCACTGTGAATCAGATGCTAATATTTATTTAATACTTTCCTATTTGAAATTTAAAACAAATATTTCCTTATATTACTGTAAAAGCTCTTCACCTACTATCAAGTTTTGATCAGGAAGTGAAAGAAAAAGTTGCACACTTTTCAAAAGTAACCTTGATGGAGTCATTTTTTTCACTCTACCAGAAATTTTATGCCAACCTTGTAATAGGTGTGTCCAATTTCTTCATTTAAACAGCATCTTTATATTGTATGACTAAGACTCTACTT